CCAACAGAACAGTGTTGACCCAGCTAAGCACTGCCTAAATACTTCTCCCTGCAGGAAATGCCAATATATACGTTTCTAAATGACGAAGCATTTTCCAGGCAAAGTGCAACTAGTAAACAAAACCCAATGCAGCTGCTGTAAGATTTCTAAACAACTGTTCTGTCGTTCATATGCACTCAGATACAGCCCACCTGAGACCCTGCCTTACTCAGATCCATTTAAGGCACACAATATAGTGCAAACAGATGTTAATTTATTTTCATCTCCATGCTCAAAGCATGTCGAAGCCCAACTCACTGCATGTCACCCTGTATGTTAAATGAACACGGAGGACACATTCGACATGCTTGCCAAATCACCTGAAACAGTTCCAATCTTGAGACACCTTTTATGTTTCTTTAATAGAGTACAGCATGATTCCCATCCAACTTATGCCAAAAACATATAATTATCTCAAAATATTGAGCACAGCAGCAGTCTTTCTCCTCATCTACCCCAAACAAACCAAAATGCTGCTGAGAGAAGGCTTCATTGTTTTTGTAATGTGGTGAGGGAAGAGTGGGGAAGACTTTTTTTTTTTCTTTTTCCCTTACTACAAAAATTATTTGAATAATTTTGATAGAATATTCCAAAATGATTCACCATCTGTCAGAGTCTAGAAGAAAATTTTTTATCCAAAAGGTCAATATCAATAAAATTCTCAAAACATTTAGAATGGAATCACTCAAAACCTAACACATCCGGAAAGATACACTTCTGCTGTACAATGCTGTATTAAGGTGGTGTAAAGCAGAACCTACTTTTTAAAACAATATTGATGAACAGTGCTTGAAAAAAAAAAACCCAAATAGATATAACTTTCAAATACACAACACAGCAAAATGCATTTCAAAAAGCATAAATTGTTGGTGAATTGGCCTGCCTCATCAGTGCTGAGGTATTAAAAAAAGTCCAAACAACAGCATAAACTAGGAGGTTTCCAGAATAAGCAACCAAGTGTATGGCTTTTGGATAATTAAAAATAATTATTTCTTTATTAAATGAAAATATGTAAATTAGTTTGTATTTAATATCTGTAGTTTCCAAACCTTTATGTTAGAAAAGTATAACCAAAATAAAAATTATGATATCTTTCCAAGCAGCACAGAGCCCCTGACCTTCTGACAGATACAGCAACTTGACAGAGTACAACCCAGTCTCTGTTAAATACGGGAACTGATTTTTACCTCCTAACTGGCTTGCTTACCTCTACACCACAGCGTATGATGAGACTTTTACTACAGACTGCAATATGTAATTCTGAAATGCTACTTTCTTTCAAGTACCACACACCATTTTTTAACCTTAAACAGAATCTGGGATGGGAGTGAAAAATTCACTTACAGACTTAGAATGCTTTCTTTGATAAAGACAAAGCACTCTAAGACATTCTTTTCACAGGGCTTACCTTGCCCTCTGAGAATTAGCTTGACTTGATGTGGAGATCTCATCAGCACCTGGCAAAGCACCACTGGCATCATCTCTCTTGAAACCTTCATTTCTTCTCACTAGGAAACCAGAAGACAAATTAATACCTGACCAGGCAACAAAGCACACAGAGTAATCCCATCTAAAAAATCAAGGACTTATCAGTCATATGAGATTACTTAGAAGGAATCAGATTCATGTGCTCTGAACAGTGGCATTACAGCATTAGACAAAGTAGCATTATGAAGCTGATTTCAGTTTTCAAAGCTATCTTATAGTTTCCCCAACAAAGATAGCTGCACTACACGAGTCCTTTGAAGAAGAATACTAAGGAAGGCCTACAAGACACAATAAAAAACCCACAAACAACTGCATGGACAACTTTCCAAGGCGAGACACGTATCTGTCAACCATGAGCTGAGGTACATACATGGCAGAGACATACAAAACCACCCCAGAACAGAAACAGAGCAGCTAGGTAAAGTAATTATGCATCCAGTTCACAAGAAAGGAATTAAGAAAACAGTATATATGTTGTAGAACTCTTGTGTTTGTTTGTCCCTGGAATCTGGTACGTGAAGGGAGCCTGCAAGGAAGCTGGGGGAGGGGGGACAGACATGACGAGTTTTCACAAGGGCCTGTAGTCATAGGACAAGGGATAATGGGTTTAAATTGGAAGTGGGGAGGTTTAGATTAGGTATCAGGAAGAAGTTCTTCACGGAGAGGGTGGTGAAGCACTGGAACAGGTTGCCCAGAGAAGCTGTGGATATCTCATCCCTGACTGTCTTCAAGGCCACTGAATGAGGCTTTGAGCAACCTGGTCTAGTGGAAGGTGTCCCTGCCCATGGCAGGGGGGTTGGAACTAGATGGTCTTTAAGGTGCCTGTAACCCAAACCATTCCAAAATAAAATGTTTTACAAAAAAAAAAAAAAAAAAGTTCTGTGGGTTGGTTTGTGGGGGGTGTGTGGGTGGTTTTTTTTTTTCTTTTGACAACATACTAACCAGCTATTCTGTTTGTAATAGTTATCTCCTTTGTTGGTACATCTTCCTGGTAGCAGCACCTGAGATGTTACACTTAGAGCTTGAATTTGCCAACTACTTAACCTTCTGCTCTTACTGTACCCTCAAGAAACTGACCTAGCAGGAGAACAAATCACAGTCATGTTGATTCAGAAATAGTTTTTACAGTCATTGCACTGAGTCCAGCAACACTACTAGTAGTAGCCAGAACGCAGCACACTCTTGCCTGTCCAAACTTAGGAGTTGTTGACTTTGGACTGAACATATAAACAGCCCGTTCTAAAAGGCAAGAAAACAAAGGAAGCCTTGCTACTTGTTCCTGCTTCTGGCTCGGAGAGTAGGAGGATAGACAAAGACAAGGAAGACTGAGAGAACGGCAAGTACAGGGAGGCCGGGCTGGCATTTTGTGCTTAGAGAATATATACGGTACAGCTATACTCTAGCTTCCTAACTATTGCTTGCTTTCCTCATTTTCATCAAATGGTTTGTCTCCACCACTTGAGTCTGTGAAGCTGTTTCATCAACTGTGGTCTCCTCTTGACAGCTCCAAGCCATCTTCTTCCATGCTATTTACTGTGGAAAGAAAACCTTTCCTGCCATATATCAGCAAACAACACTTTGTACCATCTCCTGCTTTTCCAAGCCATTGATTTCAAGGAACTTAAATTTATCATACAAACAGCCTATACTACCTTTGCATTACACTGAAATCCTTGACACCATTTAACCCCCACAGTAAAACCCACTGATATAAAAATTAAAAGCTTCTGCAATTTACTGCCACTGTACACTAACAGCAACTTGATAATTTTTGTGTCACTGAAAACAGCATGCTAATTAAAACAAGTACTCCACTAAAAAGTTTATAATTTCCAGCTTTTCCTAACAAGTTCCCTTCCAGAGTGCTAAATATCAAACTTAATTTCTGAACAGACTGCAAGTTACGCTGAACTGTACACAGTGTTGTAATGATCTTACAACTTTGTATTAGTGGTAATTATCAAGCCTCCTAGTAAAGACACTTCATACTTTTGGGGTCTATATTTCACACTGAACTTTTTTCTTTACTTTGTTTGTTTGTGGGTTATTTGGTTAGTTGGTTTCAGACTTTTTGGTGGGTTTTTCTGTGTGTGTGTGTTTTTTTGTTTTATAACACAGGTCTTACCTTGTCTGAAATCTGGTTCTGAAGAAATAACAGATGGACTTTCACTTGAAGTACTATAAACATCACTGTGGTAAGATTTGTACCTTCTCAAAGGCTCTGAAAGTTTAAATCAGGGTATCAGTGTATGAGAGCAACAGTTATGATAAAAAAAAGTTAAAAAAAAAAAATCAAACCCATATTAACATTTGAAACTTCTTAAAATCTTTTCAAAACGTATTGAAACGCCCATCTGTGGCATGGAATCTGAGAGCAAACACTGAGCAGATGCTGTGTGGTCCCATTCTGTTCCCACAGCCTGAGGGTTCAGGGGTCTGCATGGCATCTCTTGGCTATTCTAAGAGACCCCAGACTTCTCTCCCGTCTTCACTTCAAGTTAAAAATAATATTAAAAAGAACAAAATCCAAGACCAACTCCAATCTTTCCTGAAAAGAAAACTGATGAAAATTTCTGGTGCACACCTCTTGCGTGTGGAAAGCAACCACCAGGACTCAGTGCCTGGTGCATTCACGATGAAAAAGGAAAAATATCCAGAGACAAACTAGGAACTGGAAAATTCTAATTCATCCAGCTCATCTTTGACATCCACAAAACAGGATTAACCACCAGTTAATAAGGCCCTCTAGGATATTTAATTAAATGCAACAGCTAAATCTGTGTGATGAGAAATCAGTACAGCAGTCTCAAGTCCTACTCTCAGTGGATTCTTCAAACATTCTGGAGCAAGGACTCCAGGGAAGGGGTAAGTACTTGACACTTGCAACAATCTTCCAAAACTTTCCTATGCACAAGCCAACAAACCACCACATATGTGCATAAAAGCAGAAAACAGTAAGAGTCCCCACATTTTGGGATTACCAATGTTTCACTAAGTGAGAGAAAATTTCAGGTGTCTTCACATGCAGAAGATTGTCTCTGGTCCAACTAGAGTTTATAACACGTTTTGAAAACAAAAGTGATGATCTAAACACATGTAACTGCTGTGAAGTCACGTGCAATCACTACAGCAAACAACATAAAATGTGAGAATACAAAACAGGGAATACATGAGCAGATGGGCCTGGATGCTGCAAAAAGGAAGTTGGAGGTTCCAACTTCCCACATCCAGAAAACAACAGCTGGTGAAAAATCCTGTGAGAACAATAAACCTGTGGCATAACCTGTATGAGGTCAGAGGACAAGTTAAACACATGGTCAACAGTACTACTTATTCCTTCACACAGAAGCAGCAAAAACTCCAACAAGAAAAAAAGCATGAGAAGACATAAGATAATGCAGTAGACCAAGACTAGTTCATGTTAATTTTCGACTCCTGTTTCCAAAACCCTCCTCCTTAAAGCCAGCATTTCCCCAAGTTCTACCAGCTCACTTGGGTTGTGTAGTTCCCCACTATCCCACCAAATACAAGATTCTTGAAGAAAACTGGGAAAACAAAGGTCATCAACCGACCCATGAAACCAGCTGCTCTCACCAGCCTATCCCATCACACAGTTCAGCAGCATAAAACCCCATTAATCCTAAGGACATTTCACCTTACTCCCAGAAATGAGCAACACTGCTCACACATTTGCAAACCAACCCACAGCAAGATGAAGAGAATTCACTGAGGTGGAGTGTGAGGGATTGGGGTTGCTTCAGTCTTTCACAATAACTACTTTCAGCATTCTGAATTTTACAACAAAGAAATCTACCACCGATCTAGCAATTACTTGCCTAACAAGGGAAATAAAACCCAAATTCTGTGGGTAGCGTTTAGAGATGTATTTTTAAAGTGTTCCCAGCCCTTTGAGTGAGGCATCAATCCAAACATGATACTGAAGCTGCAGGGCCAAAAGGTTTAACTGAAAACAGATTCCTTCTTTTCCAGTAGTTTTATTAACTGTAGGTTTTTCAAGTCGGCTAAACTGACTTTGAAGCAAGAGGATGGAAAGGGAACAATAAAGTATAACATGAGATTTTTAAACAGATTTTTTTTTTCCACCTAGTCAGCAGCCTCGGCTTCCTGAACCACGCACAGACTGTGGCTCCTCCCTGCTTCTTCAGGACACAAAAGTTTGCTTTCTCCCTGAGCAAGCTCATACAACTTAGCCCAGTAACACAGGCAAAGGTGGTATTCTTGTCTTCTGGAGGCATTTCACATGGGGCAGCACCAATGACTATCTGCCTGTTCGGACAGGGGGACAAAAGTTTCACGGCAATTACGAAGTTACAGCCTGAAATTCAGGTTAAATCTTCTAGATTGTTCTTCACTTGGCTCAGTTTAGGGAAAATATATTCAGATGTGGAACTGTTAGCTGCTGCGCCATCTTTTCTTTGGCAACCACCTTCCAGTTCTTTGTTGGTATATAAATCTCTATGTATACCCCCTATATATCCCCCAGCATGGCAGTTCCTCTTAACCAAACTTAATCTTTCCTGGGGCATGGAGAGGATATGCACTGCAGACCTGCAAGCATTCAATTAAATTGTAAATATTGAGACTACTGTATCTTTAATGCTTGCAAAAATTACCCAATTTATGCTGTCTCCTCTCCTCAATTCTAACATATCACAGTAGGATTTAACTTCAGAGAAGGCACTTGAATCATGTCCAAGCCAAACTTCTAATTAAGAACTGGCTTACAGAGGTCACAAAGCCCCAGTTCTGGGATCAAGTTAAAATTAAGCTTTTACAATAGTTTCAAAAATGAGGACAAACTTCTAGCCCTGCTGGCTGGGGAGGAACTGAAAGATGTTGTCATGGTTTAATCACAACCAGCAATTAAGTACCACACAGCTGCTTTCTCACCTCCCCCCACCCCCCCTTGCCTCCAGTGGAGGAGGAGAATGGGAGGAAATAATAGTAACAATATTACTAGTAATATGTAATGAAAATACTAGTACTAAGTAATTAAAACAATGGAAAATAAAACAAACAACACAATTGCTCACTACCCAGCAACCGGTACCTGGCCAGGTCCTGAGTAGAGAGAGTCAGAGCCAGAGAACCCGAGAAATTGCACCAGAATCCGAGCAAGTCCCAGAGCCCAAGAGCGATCGCATCAGAGTCCGAGTGAGCCCCATGAGCAACAGCATGAACGAGAAAGCCAACTGACCCACCAACTAACAAACTACAACGGCTCCCAGCCAATTCATGGCTTACATACCAAGCATGATGTTCGATAGAATGAAATACCCCTTTGGTCAACTTGGGTTAGCTGTCTGCACTGTGTTATAGTCCATCCCCCCCTGCCCTGCTGCTTGTAGCGAAGAAGTTGGGAACACAGGCGCAGCACCAGAAACCAGAAGTCGTCCTTGAATTGGTACAAACACTCATTAGCAACAACCGAGAACACCAGTGTTATCAGTACTCTTCTCAGTGCGAATCCAAAACACAGCCTCACACAAATCCAAAACATAGCCTCATCCCAGCTATCGTGAAGAAAATCAACTCTGTCCCAACTAAAGCCAGCACAGTTCAATATCAATAAAAGCTAAAAACAACAATAAAACAACTTATCGGCCATATTTACCCTTTTCTCTGGGATTTTTGAATAGCCTTGGTTTGTTGGTTTGGGTTTTTTTGTTTCTTTGGTTGTTTTTTTTAAATTATTTTTGATGACTGAAGGGAGACTTCAGAGTTGATTTAATTTAGAAGTGTCAAGCCCATTATAGCAAAGATTATTCTATCCATTACCCTCCATAGCATTTCAGTAGTTAGTCTCTTACTAGAACACTTCAAGCCATTTTGTACCTTAGTAGAAAACAAACCTGAGTTTAAGCATGTTTTAAGAGTCCATAACTAAAATTAATAAATAAACCTACTAATAATATAGGTTAACATGCAGTAGCACCACGATGTGGAGATGAATAAAACATTACAACATCAAGAATCCGTGTTCTGGACGCTCAGTGCTGCAGTGGTGCTTTCTCAAACTCCCTCCCAAAGCCAGCAGAGCACAACCGCACCGGCACCCACCGCAGCACACAATAACCAAGCACACTATTAAAGCAAGGCAAGCCACTCAAGCCCAGACAAGCAATTTACAGAAAGCCTCATCGCAGCCAACTTCAACAGAAATCAGAGAACCACATTTAGCTAGGAATTTCATTATCCTGAACACATGACTCTCATTAGATACACAGGTTTTCAAGCACACATTATTACAGAAGTATTACTGGCTGTACAAAGAAGGAAAGGGCAGAGAGGATGGCAGAGTTAAACAGGCGGTTTCGGGACAGGGAGGGACCTCTTGTTCACTCTTGGTGGTTTATTGGTGGGTGTCTATTATGTAAGCATGCTACCATAATGCCATTTAAAACACATTAACTGTCCTTTAGGAGGTGCTGGGACTTGTTTCTTTCACAAGAGTTTAATCAATAGGTTACAGTCACATTTACTCTTCCTTTTCCTCTTTTCATCTAAGAAAACCTGAATTATCTTATGCAACACAGCATAGCTTTAGCAGGAAAATGTAGAGATCCAGAATAATCCCTGGGAAGGATTCATATCCAACAAGTGAAACAAATCCATTCAGCCTTCCAGGGGAGCATGCTCATTTTAACTCGAGATTTCCACCATCCATATTCTACATCAACAAGCTGCATTGTGCATGCAGCCCAAGTCACCAGCCACCCCAGTGCTCCCCGGAGAGCCTAACGGCCACATGATACATAGAGTCTAGGGCGATCTGAGTGACAGGAAGAAACAGAGCCTGGTAAAACTGCAGAAAACACACATCTCTAGGGCTAAGATGGAAAGGAAAACAGCAGGATTAAAAGTAAGTCCAGAGTCTGGTAAGAACTCAGTGTCTTGTACTTGGAAAGACACCCTTTTCTGTAGCTGGATCATGCCATCTTGGATAAGGTATGCAAATGGACACAGACTGAAACTGTGGCCCATAAAGATGCTTGTTTGTTTTAATTTAAATGTTTTATCCAACTGACCATGTAATGTGTTGACTAAAAATTGGTAACTCCAGACTCTGTGAGCTGCTGAAAGCTCGATAAAGCAGACGCCACTTTGCTGTGCAATTATGGAATTCTAAGAGCTGGTTTACTACCTTATGGTAATCTATGTAATTTAGAACAAAATAACAGTGGCTGAGTACTTGGACTT